ATTTCGGACAGGAAACTTGTCAGAATAGTACCCTTTCTAACGAAGTGCAGAGAGAAGGCAGGCAGGATGTGATTAAGTTGACTGGAATTTGGCTTTGGCACTAGGAATAATGCTGAGTTTTCTACGGCACTGGCTGCTTTTCAGAAGTGCATGAGGTAAGCTTGGGGACTTTTACAGATAAGTGACCAGGATTTGGCTGCATAGCTTCTTCCAAGTTCACATCCCCAGCCCCCCGCTTCTTTCTTCAAAAATGAAAATACTGACCAGTCTGAAGACCAGTGTACTGACCACTGCCAGGATCTGCTTTAGCTTCATGGGAAGAGCAGCAATAGTACCATCAAGGTGCTTCCTTTCAAGTTGTGGAGGTACAGGAGAGGATGGGAGTGGTAGGGAAAAACTTAAAACCTGCTGCATAGATGATGTCCCACAGCGTCAAATGGAAAAGGGATGCCTGCAATCAAGATCACACCATCCTAAAGTGGAGACATAAAAATAAAATACATATGCATGTGCCTTTAAGGTTTTTGGCAGAACACCTAAAGAGAAGGTTATAAAATCAAGTTTTACTTGAAGGGTCCTCAGTAGGTAGCCAGTTTGCTTCACTGTCTCAGTGAGAGGAAGGGTTTTGTATCTGTTGTCTAGTCCATCTTATGAAGTACCATGCATAGCAGTAATTCTGCTAATAGTTCACATCAGTTCTGTCACACAGAAACTAGTTCTTGTTATCTTGCAACATCCTTGAGTCTTATTTTGGAAAAGTAACATGTAACTCTGATCACATAAAATTGTAACTGCTTTTATCTACTTGCATCTATCCTGCTTTTGCACTACACTTTCCTGCTTTACCTGGATACCCCACAGCTTGCAACGGGTTGTTGATTGGAGCTGTTCCAGCATCTTTGATCCTGCCAGGAAAAAATAGTTTCTTAGTGCTGTGGTGGAACCGTTGGAGTAGGGACCAACATCAGCTTGAAGGACAGTGTTTGTCAACTACTGGGGAGAAGAAAACCCTCTGAAATTTTAGGCAATCAAACTTCTGCAATAGTGATGGAGAGAAGCAAGCCAGGGTTTTCTAACTATGATGCTTTTAGTCAGTCTTACTTGAGGTCAAAAAGACGCTACACATGCAGCGTGCCCAGCCGCGCTGCCATGTAGGGCTGCCTGCCACAGTTAGCAGGTTGTACTGCTTGGCTTAGTGTGGGACAAAAAGGGTGTTGGCAACTGAAAGGGAACGGGGAAAATCTAAGTGGGAAGGAAAATATGCTTGCCTGCGAAGACCTAACATAGTTTCATTTACTTCACAGTGAACTAAGTGCCAAATCAAAAGCATTGCAACTGCAAATAGTAGAAGATGGAAAGTTGGATAGTAAGTATTAAAACTGAATTATTTTGCACAATCAGCTCATGAACATTGCTAAATGTTGACATAAGTCCTCTTTTGGTTCTACCCAGCTGTATAGCCATGTAAGAAACACTCAGATTTCTGAACATGTCTTAAAGCATAGACATCTTATGCTGACTTGTCCTGGTATTGAAATTAGGTACGCTCATGCATGGCTCTAGGCAGCCCTGGCGGAAAGAACAGTTTATGGGAGGGAGATCAGCTGAAAATAGCCAGACAAACTTGTACAAACCAGGCAGCATGGGGAAAATTTATAACTTAATTTTGTGTTTTTATCTCTGCCTGTCCTTAAATTTGTGTCCTAGAGTTGAAATCTGTAGAAAATCACAGAGTTCTTGGGCAACACTGATTGACCTGGGTTAAGTGCTGTCTGTGTATGCTGTTACTTCCATCAGTAATCATGGACAGAAGAGAGAATACGCTGCTCATGTGTCTCTGTGCTCCTCAGAGTTAAAGTTACAGAGAAGCATTGAGTTTCTTTCTAGACTGTGAACATCCTGAGTCTTTCATCTGCTGATAGCCTAATTTTTCAGCTTTCTAAACTTTTCATGGGTCTACTGTGAACAATTTTGTTTTCAAGTTAAGCTTTCCAGGTCTTTCTGTGGCTCAAGGGGAATCATTAATATTAAACCTAAATCCTTCCTTTTGAAGCCTCAGAGGCTTCCTAGCAATTGTCAGTCACTAATTCTGATTATATTGCATTAAATATAAAAGATGGGGGGTGAAACTCTTTTACTACTTGATTCTCTTGTTGCAGTTTGCAGGTAGCCTTCAGTGGCAAGAAAATCCCTCCACTGAACTACTGCATTTGGTTTATTTGGAGAAGCATTACCTTCCCAGTGGGGGTAAGGGGTGGGTGGGTGCTGAGACCAGAGTGCCTGTTGAGGTGTTTGCATGAGCTTTGTAAACTTGCTCCAGGTACTTCATTATTTGGATATTGTGGAGGTGATGACACAACATCATAAATTCTTCTCCTGTACGTTGCATGTTCTTTTGCTGATAGAGTTTTGCTGTAGCTAGAAATAGTAACTGTATTTCACCCCTTGGATCCATTTGCTTTTCCCTTCTTATGTCAGGTTTCAGGTGTAAAACAAACCAAAAGATGCATTACTTTTTGACACTCAGCTATGTCTCTGTGTTTTAGTACTGTCAGTTACATGCAGCTTCGTTCAGGAAAAAGTTCTAAATATTGGCCAAATCTTTCATACCCAGTGATTAAAAAAAAAAAAGTGCTTTTACTCTTGGTGTCTTGTGATAGTGGATGAAGACTTGGCCAATAATTCATTAGGTAATAATAGTTTATCTAAGCCACAGTTAGTAAGTAGTATAGCCAAGCAGAGTTTTGGGTTTGAGTTACTGCATTTATTTTTATTTTTAATAATCTAGATACACAAAGTTGTGCAGTTCCTTGCATATAATCTGTGATTATTTGAGGGATTGGGAAGTAAAATTTAGGCAAATGCTTTAAAAAAATTATTTTATGTGGATGCTGGTTTTTATTGTTAACAAAAAAATGGGTTCTATATACACTCAGCAAGTGTATATTGTTTCTTGTATAAAGTTTAGTCTTGCCTGTATCTGCACATTTTTAGTAGTGGGTCTTTCAGACAATGCCAGTAACAATCCACATCCAACTGATAGTGTAACTACCAGCCTGGTTTCTTGAAGAAAAAAGTCCTAATTGATTGCACTGGCAATCTTATTTCTTCCCCCCCACCCCCGTACCATCTTAGCTGTTCTTCTCCCAGAAATTTGAATAGAAAACTCAATTTAAAATCATATTAGTAAGGAGAGAGCTGAGTAATGTGAATATAATGTAGATCAGATCTCTATTTGTCTTTGAATTCTGCAGAAAACTAGGATTTCATCCCTGAAATAATGGAGTAATTTTACTGAGAGTTTGCTCCAGTCTAGTATAGCTAATAAAGTAAAGGGAGAAACAGGAGAACTGCTGAACTTGCACTGAAGATCAAATTAAGAAAAAATATTATTAACGATGCACCAGTTTACCAGGAACCCAGAGTATTCCCTGAAATGAAACATTAGATGTTGTCTTTTCCCCTAAACATTCTGCATATACAGGGAAAAATAATATCCATAAATAGTGGCAAATAAATAATGTTTCACGTCTCCGTTCTTCCCTGTTGCACAGTATTAGGCCAGGCTGAGGAATAGTCATAAAATGGAAAGAAAGACATGAAAACTGCTATGTTTCTGCCCTGTGGTGTAGAACCAGTTCTTGCATCCAGCTGCCTCTGTTCTGCCTCCTCCTTTCCCATCTTCTTGCCCTTAAACATACTGACAGCTCAGATGTGCACTGATTTTATTTCTTGATTTTATTTCTTCTAGGACCTTTGTCCGCAAAGGTGACTGTACCTCTAGACTTGTTCAGGAAACAACCTTCTGGCCAGCAAAGCTTTGCACTGAACAGCAGGGCCAGTGAGAGCAGCCCAGAGCCAAGGTCTGGGCTGGGATCCATTAGTGCAGAGGTACTGCTGCATTTGGTTGGTTTTATGGTGGATCTTTCACTTTGGGAAGTACTTGTGAGTGCATGAGCTTGTGCTCTGGACTGTTGGTCGCAGCACAGTGCTGTAGAGTGGTGCATTCAGATTGCATGGTAACACTTCACACATGGCACTTGTGTCTGTCAAAAGAATTAACTGTTTGGCTCTTGAGTGTTAGTAAAAATGTTAAAGGAGTACTCACTAGAAATGTTAGTGTCCTTCTAACTTGACTGTGCTTCTAAGGTGACATTTTTTTGTCTTCCTAGTTCTCTTTTATAGAACCCAGTGAGTTAAAGACGTGGCAAGTCTCTTCTCCAGTGCCAGCCACTAAGGTAGAAAAGGATCGCACTGTGATGCCCTGTGGGACTGTGGTCACTACTGTAACTGCTGTGAAAACCAAACCTCGTCTAGAAGGGAGATCATCTCCCCTGAGCACAGGTGAGGAAGTCCACTTCTTTGTGTTTACTCTTAGGGTTATCCGTGGGGACCAGGAGAAGCTGGGGGGACGGGATGTAAGGAAAGGACCAGAAGTCGAGGCGGGAATAAGATGTAAGGAAAGTCGCTGTTGTCCAGAATTCTCTGATGCGTTGGAGGGTAGAGGGGCATTGTTTGTATTCTTCAGAATCGGGTTTTAAATTTTCATGAAACCTTGTTCATACAAGAGGAGTGATTAATATTTCTTTTAATACACATTGTAAAGATTTCATGCTAGAGTGATAATGCGGAAGAGCTTGGTTTTGGTGGATGGTTTTCCACATGACAAAAGTATCATTGCTGATGCCAAACCATCCTGTGCCTTCTAACCTCGATCGGTATTATAATCTCTAATGAGAATCGATGTCATCTTGTGGCAAAGATTTTTTTTTTTCAGCATGCCTTTCAGGAGTAGATTCTCTGATTCTTCTTGGGATAAGTATGACAGTAAAACCTCTAAACAGTCTTTGTGTGAAGTCTCACAAAGAGCTGCATTCTTTTAAGTTGTTAAAGCAGATCTTGTACATAAGTGGGTGTTGTCTAGCATATTACAGTAAAATGTTTAAAACAAATAAATTCCTACCCTTCATGGACCTTTTTGGGTCAGGTTACCATAGAGAGTATGTGTTGAGAATTTGTATTAAACAACTTTCTCAAACACTAATGATTTGAACAAGCTTTAACATTGGTATAATAAACTCTTACTATTTTCATTATAAATATCTTGCGTAGTTTAAATAACAAAAAACCTTGATTCTCAGATTCTCCTGTGAAAACTCCAGTTAAAGTAAAGGTGATTGAAAAGGATTTCTCTGTTCAAGCTATCCATTCACATGGTGCTCCCGTCAGCAAAACCTTATCGTCTTCAGATACAGGTAATAGAAATGTTCAGAGCTGCTAATGAGAATACATCTCTGTGCTGCACATGGGATTAATGTAATCTTGTTAAAATAACAGCAAACCCATACGGCTGCTGCCTTTCAACAGGCACAGATATGTTTGTGTTAACAAGTACTGTGGTTAGGGTTATAGCAGTCTTGCAATAGAAGTCTGGTTTTAATTGGTGATTTATATTACTAACTTTGAATAAATAACAGTGAGCTGTGGTTTGGAGAGGGGAGGTGACTACAGAAAAGCCAAGCTGTCTTTTCTCTTACTTGTGAAAGAAAGATTCCTCCTTTATAAAGGCATGGGGGACACTGCACAGAATGGAAACCCTGTGAAACTTGCCTCTAAGGCCACTGTGAAGCCCCCCCTGTCTGAAGAGAAGGCACGAGGCTGGACTGATGTAAGGAAGACTGAATTCTCTTTCTAGCCCTGCCACTGGGCTTTGTTGTGCTAATGCAAGTACACAGTCTTGCTGTGCCTCTTTGTCCAATTTCCTAAGTCACCTGGCACACAGCTGAAGTGCCTTCAGAGTGCCAGGTAGCATTGGCGATAACTTTAATTACAAATTCACTTTGACTGTATTAAGCCTGATTTTGACTCTGGGGCATTTTACCTTTTAGAGTTGCAACTTTGACTCTTCAGCATATTTTTCAGTCCTGTGTGTGGTCACTATTCAGTCTTTCTGTAGCTCTATAGGCAACAGCAATGGAAAATGTGACCCAATCTAGCTGCAGATGGCACATGATGTGGAGTTTGGTTTTCATCGTACAGATTTGAGTGCAGATGGGACAATCTGGAGATGATCTAGACTGCTCCTGGAACTGTCAGAGAGCTTGCAGAGAGAGAAGTGTCTTGGCCAAACTCAGAAATCTGGAGAAGAGCATGAAGCAGTAACTGTGAATAGCTGTAATAGCACTTGAATCTTTAAAACTCTAGACTAACAAATACTCTGATGTCATGAAGCAGGATGGCTATTACTAAGCCAATCTGGGAAATGTTAAGATAGTGCTAGACTTCTGAGTTAACTCTCATAACTGTTTATTATATTAAAGATACAAAGCACTTACTGGAAAACCCATCTGAAGACAACTTAGAGCACATTGATATGGCCAGTGTCGTTCTTTTTATGGGAGTGCAGGGGAATTTCTGTGAAATGTTCATGTAATACAGCAGGAAGAATTACTCCCTAGAATAAAAGTTTAAGTCAAATTAAAGAAATACAAAGGAACGTTTGGTATGGCAGTAACTTAGGTAGTAGTTGTTACAAACATCATGCCAAAATAGCAACAAGCACTGTGGAAAATATGCTATGGCCATGCTGTAGTTCTAAGTGATGACAACAATAAAAATTAGCAAGTGCCACTGATGCTGCTCTGGATGCTCTCAGCTGTTCCTGGGGGCTTTGCAGTGGCTGGGGAGATGGAAAAGTAGGTGTTTATAATGAGCGTGCAGACATGCCTGGGGCTGGGTACCCCTTGTGCACACACACTCTGAAGTTTCAAAAGTATCTGAAATACTTGGTGCAGCATAATTATTCAGGCCTGGTCTTTTATTGCTTTAATGTCACAGTAACAAAAAACACTGCACGGTTTCATTAGCACTGGTGCTGTTCCTGCCTGTATTCTTTTGTTGTTAAATGTCGTATTAGAAAATCCCGCCTCAGACAATTAAATACAGGGATTTTTGTTTTCTTAACTTTCTTAGCCTTGTTTGTTCCTAAGCTTGACAAATTTGATTAGTGTATTTGCTGTGCCCACAGTACTTGCATGCTAGATGCCAGAAATGGCCGTGCTTGAAAATAAACTTGGATTTGTCACTAAACAGCATTTTATATATAAAGAAGGTTTTGTACTCCTGTGCAGTGTTTGGAGAGGAGAAGGAGGTGCACTTTACAGGCTTTGGAGGCAGCTGAGGAAGAGCAGAGTGACTGCCACTTTGCCTTCCCCATCGTATCATAGTGCCATAGCAACTCTGGAAATGCTGAGCAAGGATGTCTGGAAAAAGAGCAAAGTAGCTACCTGAAGAAGTAGAGCATGTGGCAGCTTTGTACTGTGTTAGAACTACAGCTCTTCATGACTGTGATACCTGATGCTCTACCCACTGCTTCTGGATTATAGTCACCCCAGTGTGGCAATGCACTGAAATAATTGGATGTTTGTTTAGGCTTCCGAAACCTCCTGTGTGCTCAGGGCATGGGTTTGTAAGTGCAACTTAGGTGCCTTTTCTTAAAAGAATGGGTAACAGAATGGAAAGACAGGACCTAATAGCTGGGTAGTGAATTGGAGAATGTTTTGGTATGCCTAATGTTTATACCATTTCTGCTAATTTCTTTGAATTTTAAGTCAAGAACAAACTCTGCCTCTCTTTGCTCTGGTTTTTAGTTGGGTTTTTTTTCTGTTTTCTTTCTTCCCTCTGAAATAATGCTTTATTTTCAGAACTGCTGGTTCTGAACGGCACCGATCCTGTGGCAGAAGCAGCCATTCGGCAGTTAAGCGAATCTGCAAAGCAAAAGCTGAAGTCTCCTAGAAAGAAAAGCACCATTATCATATCAGGGGTGTCCAAGGTAAAGCAGAAAGCAACACTTACATTTAATGCTCAGTACTGTAAAGTCTTTGCTCCACTGAGTGTGACGTTAACTTAACACATTCTGCAGCCTCTCATTCAGCAGTCTCTGCAGGATCTAGGTCTGTGTGCCAGTTTGTTTAAATAACTTTTTCACGTTAAACCAAATGAGGATGGCTTTATCAGGGAAGGTGTTGGGTTTTGATTGTTAGATTTGACACCTTGACTAAAAATGTGTTCTTGGATAGGAGTGGGATGATTGGGGATTTGGGAAAACCAGTTTAGGTGAGAAGAGAGGATAATTTGTCCTTCTTTGTGTTTCACCCATGGAGGGAAGGTGTACAGAAGAAATATGAAAGATTTTTCTATTTTTTTCAAATTTGTTTAAACAAAACCCTCTGAAAAAAACCTCCTTGTCCTCTGGGCTTTGTTCCATAGGGAGGGCAAATGGAAGACACTTTCTGCCATGGTATATAGCATTCCTCCAGACTTTCTTCACAACAGCCCCAGTCTCCCATCTGATGCTTGGTGCCTACCTGTAGTCCTTTCCATGCAGCCTGCTGTATGGACATTTGCTGTCCAGTCTTGCTGTTATGCCTAAAGAGCTCTAACAAAAAGCCAAGAGTCAGTGGGCATGGATCCCCTCATCATCACCGTGTTGTGCTGAGGGGGCGGGGATGAAGATCAGCTGCCACAGTGCTGGATGATCTGCCTGTGAAATGGGGGTACTGGGACTGCACGGATTTTTTGTTTAGCTGATACAGTTGCCAAGAATTCCTTCTACGAGATGAAATGCTTTGATGTTTATTTTCTTAAAAGGGCCAAGCTGTTGTCCATGGATGCTGATACTTAATTACAGCAGCACATGTAGGAGAGTCCCATTATTTGTAGTGGGGCGGGGGTAGGTGGGAGGCATGTACTTAAATACTTTATTTTCAGTCATTTGGCTTTATCATGATTAAAACTTGGCTATATGTGCCTCTTTAGTAGAGCTAAGGAAGCTTCAAGTGGCTTTCTGGTAGACCTGAGCAATACAAATAAAATGGTAAAGAAGAGAAAAGAACAGGATTTTTGCAGGGAGGCTTTTTTTTCCCCCCACCCCCAGCAGAGCAGCTTGTGTCAGCATTTTCTCTTATTTTCACTGGGCAGACCTCTTTATCTCAGGACAGTGAAGCTGCACTGATGATGGACTATGCTGCAGCCATGGAGAGCTCCTGCAAAGAGACAGATCCACACACTGTGGAGGAAGCTGTTGCAAAAGTCACCTCTGATGAAAAGCTGTCATTAGGTACTTCAGAAACAGTACCTGATATTGACCCACAGCAAAGTGCCCAAAAACCTTGGGGTTTGGAGAACGGCAGCCAACAGTGGGACACCAACACACTCCTAGACCAGACCTGTGAAGAAATATCTGTGAGCTCATTAAGTGTTTCAGAAACTGGGAGCATGAAAAAATCTAAAGGTATGTGATCCTTAGCTCCACTTTAATGAATGACTGCTTTCGCTACGTAATTGACAGTGTCAGGCAACACTGAAGTTGTTCATCCTTTCTACTGATTTTTGTCCTTAAACTCCTTGTGATTGTGGTGTTGGTTAAAGCTGTCCTGCTAGCAGCCATAAAGAGCTCAGTCCTCTGGCTCTCTGAGCCAGGTTAGGCTCTCTTACAGTCCCCTCCATCAGGAAACAGAAGGGCTCACACTTAGAAGTTGAAGCTCAACTCAGTTATCTGGGAGAGAAATAACTAGCCATGTTATCATTTCCTCAATGAAAACTGTGCTCTTATATTAGCAGCCCCATTACTAACATGAAAATGGCAGGGTTCCACAGTTGCTTTCTGATACATTCCTTCTCTTCCTTCACATCTCTTAAGCGCAGGACTCCCATGGCCCCTCGCTAAAGCGTGTGTTGAGGAAACACCACAGCTAAGCCAGAAATACTCTCTCTCTTAACTGCCTTGTGAACAGTTTCTCCCTTTTGACTGATTTCATTGATACATAGTTTGCTAAAGAAAATGCAATAAAAGGTATTTTAATAAGTAAATAAGGGATCAGATCATTTTGCTTATGTGGTTATACAACTGAATAGTTGCAATTTGAAAATATCTTAGGATTCCTTGTGTTTCCTTTCTAAATCCATTAACCTCTGAGGCTGTAGCACTAGTTTGTGGCTAAGTGTCAAACACAGGGGCTGTTAGGAAGTGTGACACAAAAGCCAGTGCAGTGGACTGTGCCCTGAGCTGGGGACACAACAATCTCATGGGCTGCACATTGAAGTTGCAAAAATTGCGTTTCTCACCCAATCCACCCCTCTTTTGCTTTATCATTTTCTATTCTTTCCTTACCCAGAAATACTGTAAAGTGGCTTACTGCAAAACCTCGGTATCTTACTAGCTTATCATAATCCCCTCCACGTAAGGCATCCACTGAACCTCTTTGCCAAGGCTCTCCCTTAGAGCATCAAGGCTTTATGGCCTTCTCACACCTGTATTGCTCCACCTAATAGATCAGGATGGTACAGCAACAAACAGTTTGACATAGATGGTTGGGCATTGGAAAGTTTTGCATGTGTTTGAGTGGGGGTAGGAGGTTAGTTGTGAAGGGATTTGTCTCCTTTGGAGCCTGGAAAAGTTTAGGAAGCTGAATGAGATTTTGCAGAACCTCTGGACTCTTGTTTAACATGTTAACTCTAAAACAAGCAAGTGGAAGTTTGTACATGAGCTGTTATCTAGTTTTGGTTTTCCCTGCACAGTGTGTTGCAAAGAGATCAAGCTTCTAAAGATCCTGTTTACACATTGTAGTACAGGACTTCTAAAAAGCACAAAGTAGCTCTAATATTTGAGGGAGTTGTCTCATCTTGTAAAAATATTTTTTAAAAACTGTCTCAAATCCTTTTTTTTTTTATACACAAATTTCTTCATGGAAGTCTTGAATCTCTGCTGTGTCACAGCTGAGTAAGTCTGATGAAGTGACATAGGAAAACATTTCAAACCCCTTGCCTTCAGTTAGCTTCAAAAAGTTCAAGGTTTCTGTTGTGTCAAATGCTTTCCCTTAAAAAAAAAATAACCCCAAACAAACAAAAAAACCCCACAAAACCAAACACAACAAGAGAAAACCCAAACAAAACTAAAACAAAGCCCTTCCTTCTACTTTAAAAAGCCTTGTCTAGGTATTAATGTCTTAAAGTTAGCACTGCCATTTTTTTTTCTCTTGCATATTTTTGGTTTTTTACCTTTCTGACTTCCTTTCTTACCCATTCCCTTTTATAAACTTAAGAGGACTACTATCCCAACCAGAATTAATTGCGTACACAGTAAGTTATTTTTGTCTTTTTTTTGGCCTTTTTTTTTTTTTAATTAAGAAAATGTAGCTTTACAGTGGTACACTCATTGTGAAAACTGAAGCAAAACATAGTTAGGCACCCATTTTCTTCTTCCCCCATCTGTTTCTTTCCACCCTCCAAAATTATCTTCCTGTGCTCAGGTGTCTTAGCAGACTGGTCTGCTGTAACGAATCATTCTTCTGATGGTCGTGCTGTCCAGGTGGGTCACATAGAATGGACAGCAAGGAAGGCTTGGAGAGGTGCGCTGCATTCTTGATTTCTCTCCATCATGCCCATTCCTGTAGTATCTGGTTATCAATCAAAATCTGCTCAGGCAAACCATGTGTGACCCCATAACTGGATATGCATATGCAGAAAGCTTATTTTAAAACCTGCTGCTTCCCCTTTTCTAGATCTCTTTTCTAGCCTAACTTGTAGAGCTACCAGAACTTCAGTTGTTATTTACAAAACCACCTGGATAAAAACTGTTTTGGAAGTTGGGAAGGAATGGAAAGAAGCGATCTCTATTCATATCCTTGTAGGTGGGGAAGGAAATCTTCCTTCATTAACGAAAATAAGATTCAGGAGTGATCCTAGCCCCACAAGCATTTTCAGAACACCCTAAACTAGTGCAGAGGAGCCTATGAAGACCAGTCAGTCTGTACAGCACTCTTGACATGCTCTCTGCTTATCTTCTGATGTTAGGGGCAGAGTTGGCATATGGATCCTGTTGAACTCAAGAAGTAAGCTTGCAAATAGCATGAGCGTCGCCAAGCTTGTGATTTGCCCTACCCTGCCTTCTTAGGGGTGCATGCCTCCACAACAGCTGGAGCCACTGTCAGGCAGCACGTACCAAACTGGCTGGAGACTGATGGGTGGCAGCGGGGATGTGGCAAGCTTCCAGGTAGCAATGACCTAAGTACCTCTGGAAACACAGGGAGCTTTCATGTCGGGGGGCTGCTGCTTGTGCTGAGCTTGTGCTGCTCTCAGGGAAGCACTGCCTGCAGTTTTTCAGCTGCAGTGACTTGTACCAGCCCACCAGCACAATTTTTGCAGCATTTTTGGTTTGGTTCTATTTCCTAGTATGGGAAATCAGTCTGAATGGATAGGACTAAACAGCTCCTTATGGATAAACCCTTCTGTCCTACTCTTTCTGTTGGCACAGCTTCAGCTGCAGCTGCCAAGACTGCTGAGCAGAACAGCTGACTGCTAAAACAAAAGGCACACAGCAGCAAGGGCTCGTCAATCCCCCCAGGCCTTTGCATATTAACAACTGTCAGTATCATGGGGTTGAACACTGTTTCTTCTGTGCTGTTGACAACAGCTTGAAGTGGTACTGCCTTGCCAAAAAGATCAATCAGAGAGTGATGGGAGAGCAGTCAAGATTCAAATCCATGAGTTCCAGTTGCTGTCAGCTGACTTCCAGCTCCCATCTTACCCGGTGAGAAAAGTCTCAGCAGCAGCAAGACAAAACGTGCTAGAATATCCTCCCAGGTGCTGAGGGCTTAGTCCCTAAAATACAGAGTAATAAACCCAGGCACGTGTTTGTAACTGCTCTGGTCTGAACAAAGAAGCATCTGGCTGCTGTGAAAGCAACAGAGCTGCCATGAAATACCTGTTCTGCAGCCATCGCTGTGCAAAATGACAGACACGCAGCCTGTGTCAAGTCCTTGGGGGACAAATAGGTAGTTCTGGCTATTGCACAGTATCCCGTGAAAGAATTGGTCTGTGTGTTGCTTTTTGTATCCATTTGCAATGGGAGGAAAAGCAAAATGAAGACCATGCAGTGACAGGAATTAATAGCTGAACTGAGAAAGAATCAGGCAACCAGATAGTGGTACGGGAACAAGGTGTGGAAGCTTTGCCAGGGGATGACTGTTCTCAGGTATTAGTCTGACTGCCAGAAGGCTCCTGTGTTGGCTTGCTACCTGGGTCCTCCTTTGCTCAAATTGGCTCCTGCCACTTGGACAGCAATGCTACCCGATTCTGCACAAACCTGTTGCTACTTTAACGTGGGGCTGATGTACTGACACCAGGCTGAGTGTTGCTGGTAGCTCGGAGCAGTGTCCCTGCCAGCTGCAGCCACGCTCCCTTAAACATCAGACACACATGTGCACACAGAAAGGGAAGGTGGAATTTGGCAGAATGGTGGCTGTGAAAGCAACCTGAGCTTGCAAAGGGAGAAAAGTCCTGGTGACTGGTGTTCACAACATGAGTCCCATGTCCCTGGTGAGATGACAGCTGCAATTGCCTTGGCTGCATAACAGGTTTGCCATGGGATCAAGGGAAGGAATACAACAAAATAATGCAACTTAATGTATGGCAGAAGGGATTTGAGCAAATTTCTGAACCTGTTGGAAGCAGATGTAATATTATTTTTAATCTGCTTGAAGTGAATTGCTGTAGCAAATGCTTCATGATTGTTACTGTAGGTGGTGCTACCGAGTTCATATAGAATACATGGTGTCTGGCTTGTTTGGGCCTACTGCATGCAGGTTGACTGCTAGGTACTGTTCTCCAGCACCAACAAGGTCTTTCCCCTCAAATTAAAATGCCATCTTCATGTTGTGCATCATGGGCTAATCTTTTCTATTCAGCTCCTTTGATCTCTGAAACAACAGTTGAGTAAATTTACTTCCTCTATTTCATTATTTTTATAAAATATTCTGTACTTTTATTGTAGTGGAAAGATTGAATATGCCTGTTTGACGTGTGAGAACCCAGCGTACAACCCACACCAAATGCTGGCATGTGTATGTCTGACCACTAACATAACGTTCAGAAAAGCATTTGAAACCAAGAAAGTGTAAGGAAGGAGACGTCCACAAGATGTGTGCATTGACTTTAGAAGCTGAAATCAGATTAATATTGGCTTGCTCATAGGCAGTGTTGTTTCACAGTGGCTTTCCTTCCTTTTCAATAGCATCATTTCTGAAAGATCTGAAGGAAAATTACATTTTTCTTTAGTGCTCCTCTAGCAATATGTGTGAGCTCTTCTCTCCTGAACATCTCTGCTAACTGTACAAGTGTGTGTGTATGCATATAGCTAGAACTACCACAGCAGTCTGTCACAAATCAGTTTGCATGATACTTGCATGGAATGAGGAGAAGCAGAGAAATACATACTTCCATGGAGTCTGAATTTCTCAGTGGTGTTCAGGTGGGAGAGAGCTGGATCAGCAGCAGAGCAAAGAGGATTCTGTAGCATGTAGTGTGTGTATGTGTGCCTCTGGCTGAAAGCACAATGATTGCTCACATTTGCCAGTATCTGAAATCACTTGTTCCGAGGTGGAACTGGTACTATTATGGCCTCTACTTTACAAACCATCAATATTCTTGCTTTAGATTCACCACGCTCTTAGCTTTCTAACATTGTTGGAATAGTCACCAGGGTGACACTTAAACTGGAAATGTTAAGTCCAAGGCTTTTCTGAGTTGTGCTGCAGTTACAGTTAAAGCTGAGCTCCGAGAAGAAAGCAGCCTGTTCTGTCTAAAGTGTCCTGCACCTCTGCTGTTTGCTTCCACAGGTGGAATTTTGAAAAAAAGTGCAAAGCTCTTTTTCCGCCGGCGACATCATCAGAAGGATCCAGGGATGAGTCAGTCACACAATGATCTTGTCTACCTGCAGCAGCCACTGTCAGAGGAAGCGCGCAAGAAGGGAGGCACGCTTTCACGTATTCTGAACAGAAAGCTCCTTTCCAAAAACAAAAGCAAGAGCAAACTGAATGGTGCTTCGGCAGAACCATACGCGTAAGGCTGAACGCTCTCCCATGGGATACTTGCACATCAGTTGACCATTTGTTTACAGAGCAGTAGTAGAGGATACAAATACGGCTGGTGGCTTGCATAAAGTGGTGTTCACTGATACAGTGGTGTGTGAATAAACAGAAAGCTTGTCTTTTTTGTTTATTTTTCCAGAACGCTTTTCCTCTCTGATTCTAAAGTTGCTCCCCCAAATACAAGCAGTGCTAATTGTTTCATGACAGCTTTTGGAAGACCATGCAGTTTATTGTAGAAGATGAGGGAGGTTGGGGATGGTGCAGGTGGGGAGGACCTGCATGTAAGCAGGGGAGCTAGGAGTGGAAACATCATACCTGCTCGATGACTGAACCACTATGAAGAGCAAAGATAGCACTGTGCTTCCTGACTGCAGCCTGGAATAGTAGCAACGCAAGTCTCAACTTGTTTTTCTAGTCAGGCTGAAAGGGAAAAGAGAGACCCAGATCCAGTTTGTATTGTGGTTTGGAAACGGGTAAGTTTTCAGAAGCAGAACTAAAATGCTGATTAAGATAGCCTACTGTAATAACTGTAGCCTGCTGTAATAACTGCTCAGTCCATGTAGGTGGAGAGATGCCTTTGATACTAGCCATAAATCAATAAATTATGCAAATACTTATACTAGCATATTGTTTAATGTTCTGTGCATAAGTTATGCTTAACAAACCAACTTTTTTTAAAGTCTACTTGAGTCTACTTGCAAACAAAACATTTACAAATTCTTACATGTAACTTTTCTTCCCTGTGTGAGAAGCTGCATTGCTAATGTAAAAACCTATCTTAGGGGCTCTAATTCCTTCTCCCAAGTACTTGTTAGACAAGTATATTAACCATCATATCAAATGCACAGCTAGGAGCAATAAGTGGTGAACAGAGCATATTTAACCCTATAATGCTTTTCATTAGACAGCTTGTTTTACTTGCCAAACAGTTACTGAGGTCGTAGAAAACAGTTGTGAAGAGAGCTTTTTTTAAAAAAAATAATTCCAATTCCCTTAGTTGTCTTTCAGTTTCTAGATCTACCAGTGTTGTCATGTGGTGAGTGGTTGGTTGGGTGAGGTTTTTTTTTTTTATTCTTTTTTCCTCTTGAAGTATTGCAGCTGGCTCCTTTGAATTAAAAGGAAACACTGATGAAAGTAAAGGCATAGTTCTTGTTTTGGTTATTAAGAGTAAAATGTCAGCCAGGTACCATCTTTTGTGCATACCTGTACTTTTCCATCATTTACATTCCTAGCAAGGACAGAGGGCCAAGCCTGTTCTCTTTAGCCAAGAAAAACATCCATTCCATCTAAATTACTGACATTAATGAATGATAGATTTGTGCCTGCTTTGCCAACAGTGGTTTCCCCCCTGTCCTTTCCTCCCCTTAAGACATCAAACACATTGGCAGATGTTTGGGCTTTCAACTTAAAACATGCCTCAAAAATAGAAAGTCGCTGAAGAACAGAAACACATTTCAAAACTTCTGATGGACTCTAGATTCCTTGGTAAATACTCCTACAAAGAATATAAAAGTAGAGGGATTTTGGTTTCTTTTTTAACAATAAAATACTAGAAGTGGACTGTCAAAAATCTTTTAAATGAGCCTACTGTTAAAAAATACTGTTTATGTGCAACCTCCTAAAATCACTGTGGTAATACAGCAGTCCAGACTATCAAATAGATGTACGTTTAAGTATGCTGCTTATTATGAAAACACTTGAAGGTTTTTTTATTATTCTGTGTTTTAAAATTGGTTACAAATAAGTCTTCTAGACCTGTAACATGCTTAGAAATCCCAGTTCAGTGATACAGGTTTGTCTAGCTTGAATGTGCTTGAACACTTTTGTTTATTGTTTATTTAATACAAAGTAGAAGTTAGGTTTCTTCATTTGTTTTGCAGTAATTCATTATATGAGCATTAAAAAAACTGATTTTATGTTCTTGCAACATACGCTTTTTCCCTTGACTTTCCTGGGAGCTCTTTGCATGATGGGGCAGAGTCAGAGGTCAAATCCCTGACATGTTTTAAATGCTCAGCCTTGTTTGCTGAAGGAGAAAACCACAGCAGGTCACTGAGTTCAAGAAACCAAAATGAGCCTGAGCTCCATGGGTTGCACCCCCTTACACTAAAAGCAAAGAGTTGTGGAACTGGGAATGTAAAGGGAGCACAGGGATCACGTCACACTACTTGAAGTCTGCTTGAATTACTGAACTGGGATTTTCATTTACAGAAGTTTTATTATGTACTGTAGAATGGGGTGGAAATAACACTGAGTAACTTGCAGAATACAGCAGTAGTGTTTGCTTGTAGCTTACCCCAAAAAACAGATACACACTGAATAAGTGGTTTTTTGGTTCCTCTTTCTTAAGGTCTTGGTGATTGCCTAAATGCATGTCTTAGTGGTGGGAACAGAGAATGTTCTATACTGCAAACTGTGAGGGTTTGGGCTTGCATATATTGACAGAGAATTAATTACTAAGATGAGGAAAGCAAGGCATTTGGGGTTAAAAGGGAATCTTGGGTTTTGATTGCCTCACTCCTCAGGAAAATAAACATTGTTTGGTTTGACCTCTGTATCTGGCTGGTGTGCTCCTCACCTCTTCCTACTCCTTTACAAATATTTTATGTCCTTTTGTAAAAATAAGCTAAAGTACTAGACACAAAGAGACAATTGAATTGCTCAGTCATTACAGCCCCAAAGGCTGATAATACTGAATCCCATTCCCACCTTCTGAGATGATTAGGTTGTCATTTAAGATCAGGAGATCTGAGTGTGTACCTTCTTTGCGTACTAGCATTTAGGTCAGTGTGAGTTGGCTCCTGACAACCAGCAGGAGCTATGCTACAGGTTTGGGTAGGGAGGACTGGATCTGTAAGCTGGCGTAACAAACAGTGCGGTGTTCCCTGTCAGGTGCTGCGTGTTTCCTGTGCAGTTGTGTGAAGGATGCCGGAGGGAATAATTTTGCTTTTTTTATGTTTTGCAGTCTTCATAATTTTAATAACTACAGAGTTGAAAAGTAGAACAAATCTCTGCACGATATTGTTGTCTTCTGTCTTCCAGTTTAATTACTTCAGAACAATAGCTTGGAAACAACCTGTGAAATCTTTCTTTGTTTTTGTCCCGTTCATTACACTTTTGTGTTTCTGGATGTTCTTTACAGCAGAGGTGGCATGGTATTTATTTTATGAGGAGTAAGAGATGAAGGCTTGCTTTTCCTTTCTAAAGAATGTTTCTGCACATAATTGAACATTCTCAACCTGTGTTTGTGGTTTGTATTGCTTTATGGCATTTTAGCTTTTCATTTGCCTTGATGGAGACAACCTGCATCCTTACCTAACCAAGATTTGCCTTGACTTTAGTGTGGGCTTTGACCGAGTAAGTAGTACAAGAGTTAAAATTTCTCTTCATAGATTAAAGCAATAAAACTACCTAATATCTCACGTGTGAATACAAGCTAGGTAACTTTCTTAAAGTGACTGAGATCACTTTAAAGAGAAGGGGGTCCTTTACCTCTAGGTCACTGGTATTTCATATCAAATTCACCCTAGGAAGAAATGACAGTCATTTCACTCCTAACTATTTAAATTAAAGTTGGGAATCTTAGGCAGCAGGAAGGAGAAGGAATGCTGTAGTGGAAAAATGTTCATATTCATTGAAAAAGCAAAATACCTTTAGCAAACTTCAGCTTAATGGACAGGTCATAAACTGTGCAGGCATAAATACTGGCTTTATTCTTATGCTTTCTGTTAGATTTTATTTTTCCCTGCTCTTTCTTTGGGAGAGAGGATGGGGCTCCAGATCACACAGACCTCTAGTTTCTGTCTTGCTCTTGAGAACACTTGGCTTACAGTGCTGCTTTTTTTTTTTGAGGTGTTTCCTTGCCCTGATGATACCAGTTTTGAGGATCAATGAAATTTTTACAGCATTTCCTGGTACTGCATCTCCGTGCTGTTTCTAGGTGGTTTTCAAGTGAAAGCTTTCTGCTGTGGATTTCTTGTAAAGTTTTGGTGTTCTTCATATGCAAAGTATCATAGGAAAAAGCAAAGTAGACAACATAAAATGCTACCAAATGTGTATGGGGAGGCAAAATAAGAATCTTGCTCTTGTTTTAACATCTTTTTCAGCTCTGGTAGCTCTAGGTGTTAGAAGGAGCGAGAGCTCTATTCAAGGTCTATTCAAAAAAGCTCTATTCAAAAAGCCACATGGCTTTTTTCATTTCAGTTTATTGCAGTGTTTGGATTGTAGAGCTGAAGTTTGAGATAAGTGCTTACCCTGGTACAGAATTAAGCATACCGTAGCTCCAGGCTAAGACATTCCCATTGTGAGTGGGAACAGCTGACCTCATGCTTTGACCTCCACAAGACCTAAGGGGATTTATTCATGTGTTTAAAGTCAGCATATGCTTCTGTACGTTGCTAAGCCACAGCCTTGGTGACAGACAGCTGAAGATTAGCTATTATAACAAAATTGTTACCTTAAGGGTGAATAATACCATTTCACTCAGGATGTCCAAACTGTTACTATGCAAGGTGCTGGCATGGTGTGAAAATAGCTGGGAAAGGTGGGTCTGAGGTCTTTCCGATACTGTAACTCTGTATTTCCCAATAATGTATTATGCTCTGATATTCCAGGTGGGGTAAAACATTTTTTTTCTAGCATTCAACTGTGATAGTCACTTCTGTGGTGGAGGGTTTTTTTAATTATTTTTTCTGTGTGTACACAAAATTAAGTTGGTGCAATTAAGAAGTCTATGATGTACAGATTTATTATATCACTGAGAAGCCTGAGAAGAGGATTTTTTAAAGAAATAACTACTGCTGTACATACAATAAAAGCCAATTGTCTCTGTGTACTGTGCTTTCCTACATACCTAGTCAGGCAAACGTAACAGATGGTTTTCTACACTCCTTCACTAATTCGACCTGTTGCTTAACACCGTCCATTTACCTCTTTACTCAGGAGCAGAGTTCTCTGCCTACGCTGTGCTGACCCT